GGTTCTCGCCCTCGTTCGCCCGAAGATTTTCTTCACCCAAAACATCGAGTTTCACGGATTTTAAAACCACGGAAATTTTATCGTTTCCGAGAACGGCCCAAAACAACTTACTACCATTGCCATTGCTGGTGTGGCTTCGCGAATTTTGTGTGATCAAAGGAGTCAACTGTTCGAGAGATTCAAATTTAATGAACTTTAGTGGATCCGACCGGCCGTCTTCAAATAACCCGATTTCAGAAGGGGAGCTCATTGTTCGAAAGAAATTATTTAAAGCAAAAATCTTCGTTACAAGCAAGGTCACGTCACTAATGCGGAACGCGAACCAAAAGCAAATGAAATAATTTATTGAAACGTGATGATGTTCGAAAATGCTTAAAGGATGGAAAGATAAGGTTGCTAAAATGACTATTTGGATAGATGTGAAAAAATGAAAAAAAAATTTAAATTTTTGAGGCGAATGCAAAAAATTTGGGAAAATATCAACACTTATACTTTTTTCTATTATACTATTTATATATAATAGGGGCCATATGTGTCACCGTATTGAATACACCACATAAAACGTTTACATCATGTTTTTAAAATAGCTCAAGAAAAAAAAAAAATGGATCACCCAAAAAAGACAAAAAAGTGTCAAAATAAATATCAAAATAAAATAGCGGATAATTTTGATTCTTGTTTTTTGGTAATTATTTTTAGGAACGAATAATAATCAGACGCATAACGCCATGATGCATACATTGTGGGCTCGTGAAACCAACGGATCGGGAACACATGCTAGGTAAACTGGCACAGGGGCAAGTGAGAGTTCGAATGAAAATGGTGAAAAGAGGCAATTAATTCCACTACACCTCGGCACCGGTAAGATAAGCCTTCCTGATCATCCGAAAATCATCCGTTTTCTAAATATTTCTTAACCTTGGACAAGCCTCAACAATTTGTGACCAATTGTGCTGATGAAATAAATCACCGGGGTTTGGAACTGTTGTCTTGTCACGTGAGTTGAAATAACATGTATGTTTACAAGCAAACGATTTGCTGTGGGGCCCTTCGTAATTCCGATCAACATTTCCTTTAATTTTTCCGTACACCTCAACAAATACGTATCTTGTGTGACACGTGCATGTAAACAACGTTTCATCACCATTATTGGTTCTTAGTTCTTAGTCCATTTTATACCTAGTGGTATCACAAATTCGCACTGAACAATTGGAAGTCGGTCCCTCGTTGATGCGAGGGAAATCTTTACCACGAACCGAAACCGTTATGACGAATTTAACGAAATTGTGAGCTGAAAAAAAAAAAAAAATCCTCACCACGAAGTATCCGGGCATCCCACATATTATATACGACATGTGAAAACCTAGCACTTTATTTTCTTTCTGTTTGTATAGGCGCGATACACATGTACGGCTGTATGTAAATGCGAAGTTTGGGGTGCATATTTGCTTACACAGGGGTGCCTTCGCATATTCAGAACAAGACATTGTATACATGGCAGGTGAAGGATTGCATGTGTAGAGCAGAGGAATTCATTGAGATAATCAATTAACTAGTTCTAAACATCCAGAACAATTGAGTTGCTGTCGAGGTATGCACCCTGGTAAAAATCGAAAGTCAAGGGGAGTGTTTCACATTCAAGGTAAGCATGAAACAGATTATCATCATCTGCACACACAGTATTACAGTAGCAATTATATCAAGTAATCCAAGCAGAAGAGGTCTTCTCACATTAATTTAGTCATATTTCAAGGCCTTAAGAAGTCATTCTGGGTGATTCGGTTTGGTTCTTTTGATTGGTTGATTAAATAAGCTTCATTGAACAGAGAGTGATTAAACTTAAATCTTCTTTTCCAGGCAGCTTATATATCTGACCTGGTCCAGAGGAAAAAAAATACGAGCCAGGGGAATGTCAAGGCTTGCGGATATGTTTGTGTGCCCGGCATGTAGGCGGTCGATTATTAGAACGACTTTCAGAAAAAAAGAACAAAATGATATCGGGACATCATCAACATTATTACCATCATCTCTAAAGGTCTGAGATGCGAATTTCAATTCGTCAATTGGCCATACTGTTTCAGATACTCGAATTATAATTTTTAAAAATGCAATTTACCTTTTTGGGGTTCTTAGATGCATTCAATGCAATTCCTAAAGTGTGTTTGTATAATACCAAAATCATGATAATGTGGTTTTATCTAAAAAAAAAAAACTTCCACGCCACCTTAAGAAACATTATTTTACTAAAAATATAATGCCAATTAGATACTGTATAACGATGCTAATTAAGATGAATCGTGCTATTTTTCTTGGCAACACATTTTAGCCATAAAAGTAATAAACCACTGAATTCAATTGTACACATTAATTATCAATCGATTTATTTAGTTTAAATGAGTTTTCGAGTATCCAAGAGTGAGTTTGGCATTGGCATGAAACGATTCTTTATAAGGCCTATTATTCATTATTGATTTTCTTGATACGCACTTATGGAATATAGTATTCATTTTCGATTCTCTTTTTTTTCTTTTTGCCCGGCTATTCAACAAACCGATGTACACAGTGCACACATTTGAAGATACATACAGTAAACTAATATAATATTATATATCATATACATGTATATTTTTCTATAAAAAAATTTTATTTTCATTTTTTCACATCTATCCAAATAGTCATTTTAGCAACCTTATCTTTCCATCCTTTAAGCATTTTC